CCCCCCAAGCGCCTCTCTCTGTAGACTCTTGGCTCCTTTGCCTTTAAAATTTATGACGCTGTTTTTTTTTCTCTATTACTTTTATTTTGTCCCCAGCGTTTTATTTGGTGCTTGTTAAATATTTGGGCGCAACGAGCCCGCAGCCCGCCGCGGCAGAATGTGGCTGTCATGACCACGGAAATGTTTTAATTATCCTCGCTGCCCGCGCCGGCCTCGGCAGCCGCGTCCTCCAGCACCGACTGCCGTCTGATCTCGGAACAAAAGCAGCCGCCGGTGCTCCTCGCGCGGGCTGAGCTCAGTTTTAATATTTGGTGGGCTCTGCTCGGGCCGGCCGCTCGGGCCCCGGCGCCGCTGAATTAGAAAAACAAAGATTTCTATACGAGAGGATTTTCCTCGGAGCTGCAATCTAGAACTTTCTGGGCCAGATTTCCCATTTTCCATAAATCAAGACCCCAGCTGCCCTGAACCGGGGCGGCCGGGCTGCGTCCGTCTGCAGGCCGCGCTTTTATCAGCCTGCCCGAGGCTGGAGGTGAGCTGGGAGCTGAACTTTGCAAATCCCACCTTTTAAGGGAAAAGGGTCAGCATTCTGAAGGGTCAGGGGCCAACGGAGAAGCTCAGGCAGCCCGGGAATCCAGCTCCCGGCCGGCCGGCGGCACGGCCCTTGGGACACAAAGGTCTTTGAGGAACTCCCGCCCCCGGCGGCCACGGCTCAGGTCCTGGGCAGTCGGGTCCCCGGCCACAGCGCCGCAGGTCGGAACCAGGGCAGGACGGGGACCACGCGCCACCCCCCAGGGTCCGTCCGGTGGACAAGCCACGTGCGTCCCGCACGCAGTCCCTGGGCGAGGCGGTTATGAGCCGGACACAGCACCGTTAGCACTTAAACAAGTGCTTAAAAAAATAAAAGCCCCAAACAACCTAACGGATTTTTCCCACACTGAGCCGAGAGTCAAAAACAGCTTTTTTTTTTTTTTTTTCTTTTGGTGTTCTTTTTTCAAAAAATAAAATAAACGAATGGGGAAAAGAACTGGATCCCTCCACTGTGGACACGGCAGCATTAAAGATGCCGGACAAAATAAAAGGGCCTCTGTTTCCCGAGGCAGCGTCCACCCTCCGTGTGCCAGCCTGGCCCTGCTGCCGGGAGTTTGCAGGGAGGGGCGTGGGCGCCTCTGGTGTTTTTCCCTCCGCCACTCCCGACGCTGCCAAAAATGAAAATAACAGTAATAATGGTAACGAGACGAATGGACCCAGCGAACGTGGACGAGCGGGCCGTGCCTATTGATGCCTCCCGAAACATGCGTTCAAACAACCGGCCACGGAGCTCCCGTGAAATAACAAACATTCGTTTTAATTGTGATTTCCGAAGCCCGGAGCTTTGGATCTTAAAAAATAAACGGGCTTGGCTTCCGCGTTTTCCCTGCAGCTTTCGGGAAGACTGACTTCACTAAGGCTG